TCACAATACAAGAGATATATTTGACCATCTATGTGTATATATATATACATATGTGTGTGTGTGTGTGCATGTGTGTGCTGTTAAGCAGGGAATGTAACTACGACAGTTTGGATCTGGAATATATATATATGTATATATATATATATAAAACACGCAAACGCACTGCGCAGCGCGCACACACACACACTCACATACATATAACATATGTATGTGTTTATATATATATATATATATATATATATATATATATATATATATATATTATATATATAGGTGTGTGTGTGTGTGTGTGTGTGTGTGTGTGTGTGGTGTGTGTGTATAAATATATGTATATAAATATATATATACAAATAATTATATATAAATATAAACATAAATTTAATTATATATCTATAAATATAAACATAAATTTATTATATATATTAAATATACATATAAGTATATATATATATATATAATATATATATATATATTATAATAATCTACATATAAATATATATATATATAATATATATTATTTATATAATATATATCAACATATAAATATATATATATATAGATATATATATATATATATATATATATATATATATATATATATACATAACATATACATATATATATATATTATTATATTATCTATATATATATCTATATATATATATATATATATACCCTTGGTGCCGGGGTATAGACGTGTACGTACGTGCTATGCCACAGTGAGATACTTGTTTGATTGTTTTTAGCATCGAGCAAACACTTGTACTAACTTCCCTCCCCGTTTCTTTGATTTACAAAATATTACGTAATCTTATTTTGCTGTTACTAATGTAAAAAAAAAATGATAAAAATGATAAGTTTATGATGAAAATAACACCATCGATTTATAGCATTAGTGAAAAAATACGTCTTTCCAGTTATTTAAAATCAGGCGCTAGCAGAGCATCTATCGGCGACATTTCAACGAAAAACATAGAAAGTGGGCACAAGATTTCCCCATTTTTGTTCATTTTCCCAGGCACATTGGGGATTATATATTATATATATATATATATATATATATCTATTATATATATATAATAATATATATATATATGTATGCATATATATAATAGATATCTATATATATGATAGAGAGATAGATGATAGATTAGTAGATATAGATATATATACATATAAAAAAAAAAAAAATATATATATAATATATATATATATATATATATATATATATATATATATACATATCTATATGCATACATATTATATATAATATATATATATATATCTATATATTATATATATATATATACATATAGAGATAGATATAGAATAGGTATATATATACACGCCTCTGGAACCCATTCCCGGTATGACTGGAAAGCCTCATCAGCTAGTGAGAGCCACAGTGACTCGAGGGGCCCGGCGGGGAGGGACGTGGGCTGGCGTGGAACTACATGTTAGTCATATCACAGACTTTACCCTTGTTAAGTACTTCAATCATTGCTATTGAATATTTTGTCATTTGGTACAAAACAAGTGAACACGCCAAGAAAAATTATCAGATTGATTATATGTTTGACTATACTTCAATTTTCACATATATGTAAATACCATTAATTCATGATTTCTCACAGTCGAGAAAAGAACCAATGTATTGAATTAGGTAATACGCTGTAGTTGTCCCCAGTAACTAAATCACAAGGCAAATTCTTACCCGATTTCGCACATTAATCACTGTAATCCGTGGCTCACTTATGAATATGTTGAGTCAAGCTTTTTCCCCAACTCGTCGTCATGAGAATCGCCGATCAGCGTTAGTACAATGACAAATGCGATCGAAACAGGAAAATCCCGACTCACTCGAACTCGCAGGCTTGATATTAGCTTAATAATTCTCTCTCCTTCAGAATGGACAGATTGTTGGGGAATCACGAAACACTTCACCGACAAGCAGGAAGTTTTAGTCACTTGTGCCTACCTGGATCTTTGTTATTCACTCGTTCGGTTATTCAACACAATACTCGTGCAAAACCGCCAGCACGTAAAGTCAAAAAAAAACTGAGATAATAATCCAAATACAAAAAGATTCGATCGTATCTTTGCCGAAATAGCCGAACCGAACAGTCACTCTCGATAAAAGTGATATAGACAACAATCCTACAAAGGTAGTGCGTAAGTCGATGCCAGGGTCGAGAACAGGATTAAAACAAGACCGCAGCAGTGCAAGTAGCGTTGCAAGTCCGCAGGGAGACATAGGAAAAACGGAGTGCATCAGCCATCGGGACATTTTCTCTTACATAAATCACATTGTAAGATTTAAAGAGAGAAGAAGTCACGCCAATGCAAGGGCAAGAAATACAATCAATGTCAAGAAGTAATCTGATGATAAGAGAGCAAATATAAGATGAATATTATTCCCATTGTCAGATGAAGGGATAGTAAGTATAACAGGCGAAGACTTTCACAATAAAACGGGATGACTTGGCATTTGCGTACATTCAGCGGTTTTGGTGCACGCGAAATAATGCTAGCGATTGCAATAATGCATATGTTATATAATATATATGTGGTGTGTGCGTGTGATTGTGTGTGTGTGTGTTATAAAGTAGCCTATTCATGTTGACAAATATAGAAAATAAGCACAATACAAGAGATATATTTGACCATCTATGTGTATATATATATACATAGTGATGTTTGGTGTAATGTGTGTGTGCATGTGGGTTGCTGTGTAAGCAGGGAATGTATACGACAGTTTGGATCTGGATTATCTATAGATATATATATATATATATATATATATATATATATATATACATATAGATATAGATATAGATATATGTATATATATACACGCTCTGACGTTTAACATTCTGGAACCCCATTCCCGGTCATGACTGGA